GTTATTGAACTGTTGACAACGTGGCCCCACCTGACACCTCTCTAAACCCAAGTGAACATTTATTGCAGATGATTTATATATGACACAACCACTTCTCTGTCGACGTTAAATTCATATACTTTTTATTTACGGGGTTTAAAGTGGTCCAGAAGACTATGGTCTGTGTAAGAATCACTACTTTCCTATGCTTTCTGTTACAAAACTCCATTGTTTCAGTCATATATAAATTATTATTTTAATAGGGTTTTAGCAAATAACTGAAAATGCACCAAATATACACCAGATGTGATTGATTATTATTAGTAGTAGTAACAGTAGTATTTACTCTTCAGCAATTTTTGGAGGATTAAATAGGCCTTCTCAAAAAGATGTGTTTTTAGTTTTTTTCCTAAAAACATCCACCGAAGTTACTTCACGTAGCTCTACTGGCAACAACTTTTGGGGATGTCTCTTTCGAGCTTCTTCCACCAATAGACGTTTGCGCTTTACGAACCACACCATTCAATTTGCTGGCAATCTAAGTTCGGATATTAATTGTATAACTTTAACCCATCTACAAATCTCATCAAAATGACCTGGTATTTTACCCAAACAACAATTGAATGCCAAAATTGCAATCTTAAATACTAACCTCAGTTCTAATGGCAACCAATGCAGACAATGATACGTTTCCAACTACCAACACAGTTGCATTCTGAATCAACCGCAACCTTCAACACACCCAAGCACAAAACCACAAATCATTACAATAATACTATTTTTACCAATTTCTATTTCTATCTTTGGTTTTGCTGCTTCCTACATTAAGCTAAACAATATAATAAAAAATTATGCAAACCTGAATTTTGCTTTTGCGATAGAAATATTCAATAAATATTGCTCAAAGTTTGCACAACCTATGTTAGGGGGACAATAATTCCCTGTTTTTGCCCGGTGACTCGGTAGATAATATATATATATTTATATATATATATTATTATATATATTACCAGCATATGTATATATATATATATATATATATGCATGCTGGTAAAAGACCATAATTAATGCAGTAATTTATAAAATCTACTGAATTTATTTCTAGCGTTGGATAGTTTTATTATTACATTTCTCAATATTTCTAACCAATTTCTTGTCGTAATTTATTATTTTATTAAAGTTAGAATAACATACAGTTTTCCAACTCATTCTCGAGTGTATAGAACCCCTTTCGATTCTTCAATCATCTTCAGCTCTTGTTACAGTTTATATAGAGAATTTGTATAAACCAGTACCTATTGCAGTTTATATAGGGATTTTGTATAACCCAGGGCTTTATCACAAGAACAAACAACACCAAAACAATATACTGTAATTCCAGTCATTCCCATCTGAAATTAGCCGAAGCCATTTTCATTGACATAAAACAACCTCTGATAAACAAACAACAAAAAATTTCAACAATACTCCCGACAAGAAGGACAATAATAAAATATACTAAAATCGAGTGACATCGACCAAAGTGCTATCAAAGAGCAAGCAAATGATACCAATATAATGAGCACAATAAAACAACACCGAAGCAATAAAACATAACAAAACATAACACCAAAGCAGTTTTAGCCCAAACAACAAAACCATATCAAGTAGTAAAGACGACAAACAGTAAAATTAACAGTCACTGATAACAGTAAATGTAAATCACAGGAACAAAGACCTTGGTTATACAAATTTCCTATGTAAACTGCAACAAGTACTGGGGTATACAAATTCTCCATATAAACTGTTACAATTACACACACACACACACACACACACACACACACACACACACACACACACACACACACACACACACACACACACACACATATATATATATATATATATATATATATATATTAGAAGAGAGAGCGTGAGTTTTGCAATATGTTAGAAAATCGATTCTATTTTGCAGATTAGTTCATGCATACCGCCTTTTTATTTGAGTTTGCTGTTGAGTTTAAGTATACCGCATCATATTTTGCACCTTATTTTTAATATTCTTTAAAATCAGGATCTGACAGACGCAGAAACTGTTACAACATGCAAGGCAGTAAAACAAAATTAAACAAAAAAGTGAGAAAATAAATACAAAAAGTGAAGAAGAGAAATGATAAAACATGAAAAATAAAATATGTTAGAATTAAATAAATAAATAAGATGGAGCTAAACCGTTGATAGACTTGTAGACAACTGTTGAAATTTTGAACAACACTCTTTTGTCGACGGTTAGCCAATGAAGTTCCTTCAATATTGGGGACACATGGTCGTAATTTTAGAGCTCCAACAACTTTTGCGGCTTGATTCTGTATTGACTGCAGTACAGCCATGGATCGATCAGGTAAATCATAAAACAAACTGTTGCAATAATCGACGCGTGAGTGCACAAATGTATGAACCAACGTCGGCAACGTGGACGCATCTAGGGATCGTCGAATTTGATTGATTTTCCTGATTTGAAACATGCATTCGGCTGAGAGCTTTTTAATGTGTTGTTTCATTGACAAACCTGAATCAATTATGAAGCCCAGATTAGCTGCTGTCTGACAAAATGGGATGACCTCATCATTGACAGTTATTGAATCTATGTCTATTCTCGAGAGTTTCTGCCAATATATATATATATATATATATATATATATATATATATATATATAAAGTAAAACCAGAAGCCCACAGGG